TGGGGGAAAAGCCGTAGATAAACTCGAAGGTTTTGCACCAAAAGCCGCAAAGATGATGAAGATGGTTTGTTGATTCCAATGATCACTTTCACCTTCACAGTAGGGAATTAAGGACCACTGCAAATTAGACTGCTACAGGGTTACACTTGTGCTGTGGAAAAAAGTATGATGAGCTGGCTGGATCAATGTCAGTGGGGCCACTCTTCTATCGAGAATGTTGGAGAGAACATTTACATGACGACGAAAACTAAGGAAAACATGACGGTGACTGCAATAAAGGTAAGTTTATCTGCAATTCAAAATAGAAAGGTTTCGACGAGTTTGGCACCAACCCTTTTCAGAGCACTACTGCATGGTTCGATGAGCTAAAAGTTAAGGGTGTTGGACAGGCAACTATACTCACCGATGTGGCCTTTAACCGTGGCATTGGCAATTACACTCAGGTATGAGCAGGTCCTGATGCCACGATATTCACTTCTGGATGCTACCAATAACTGCTGAAGATGGTATGGCAATCAAGCACCAAACTTGGATGTCGAGTGAAATGTTGTGATTCTATGACGTTTGCAGGGTGCCAATACATGAGACAGTGAGCCCTTTTGTTTCTTACCTTTCCTCCTAAGAACCTCCTTTGAATAGACAAGTAAATTGTGTTTCAGGTTAACTGGTTCGACGAAGAAATTTACGAGAAAGGAGAACCGTGCTCAGAGTGCGAATGCAAGGAGTGCAAATGTGATGTGAAAGTTAGGCTTTGTTCTATCCGCAAATGATGAGAAAATAAACTTCAGAACCTTTTATAGATAACTTATGTTAAGGGCAACACTCAAACGGTCAACGTTAAGTTTGAAAGCACATTCAACTGTAAAAACTCTCCCGCAAAAAAAATTCTAATAGATTTTTCTCTGGTTAACACCAGAAACTCTCAGTTAAACTTCATACCAGAGAAGGATTTCTATTTCCAATAGAACTTTGAGTAGAGAACTAGGTATATAGTTAGGGCTTGAAAAGTTATTAACAAGTATGGAAGTTAAAACTGCAAAATTAGTCTACCAAACAAATTGTGAGCGTTCAAAGTTCGCGTGCTTAAAGCATGGAGAGATAATTCCAGTTGAAAACCATAGTTACCCGTAATGACCACAAGGGTCCCCGTAGCGTAGTGGCACTGCTCTCCCTCTCCGTGTTAGCGATGAGGGTCTGCTCCCCGTTGTCGGTGCCGTTTTTTCTTACTAATTTAAGTCAGCGCTTTGTTTCAGCTACCATTTGCGATCACCTACCTATCACCTATCACCGCACTTATTTAAAATTTCTTCACGTCACTTTTGTAACGCTATTTCATTTTCAACATCGAAACACACATACCCACCCCCAAAGCGAAGTACTCTTGGGCACGCGGGAAAACTCAACATCGATGAAACAACCCGGAAAATGGGTAGAAAAAATGTGCTTTTTTCGGTCTCGAATCGAATGTATATTTTATTTACGGTTGTAGAGGGACAGCATGTACATACAAGATTCGCATTTTGTATTCTTTCATCAATATTCAGTTTTCACGCATATCTGTTTTAAAAGCACGGTTCACGATAAAAATCATTACTGAGTTCTTTCCCTAGGAATACTCATTGGCCCCCAAGGTTACTAGAAAGGACCCAAAAACTCGACGGTTATGTTACTGGCTCGCGCGGCCTTCCCGCCTCTCCATCAATGTCATGTTAGGCGAGTGTCGAGGCGATGCAGATTGGATTATTCGTTCCAGNACCCACTCATAATCAGCTGATCGCCGAGTGATGAATCGATTTTTTTTCTCCCATTCTTTTTACTTCTGTTATTCTTTTTGCTGCTGCGATCCCTTTTTCAATTTCCTACTCCTAGAGGCTGTAAAGGTAAGCTATTTTTGCTGTTACTAGTTTTTTGTTTACTTCTCCTTATAAGTGAATGAATTTTTTGCTTACCGAAGTCAGCTATTTGCACCAGAACCCACACTTACACAATGACCCACATTTTACAGGGTGCGCCGTAATAATGGTAACAACTTTTTGGACCTCTGTAATTTCTTTGTTTGGAGGGTTTCGCAAAAATATGCACCTTCCCTAATGCACGATATACCTTAGCTCACATATCTTTCTTAGTGCCCTCAATTCGTCGGGTTTCGAAAAACGGTGGAGCCTAGCAGACATTCACCAACCGTTCAGTCTGTGCGCGGATCTGGTAAGTTCTCTTCAGGGATCGCTACTCGTTTCAGCATTACCCGCGTGACAGTCCCTTGAAACGCGATGCGCGTAGACAGGACAGCGACAAACCTCAAAACGGTTGGACAGCGACAAACTCTTTTCCGAATAGAAAAGCTTGGGAAAGAGTACGCTGCGGAACCTGCGGAAACGCGAGAAAATGAGCTGAGGGTCAAAAATTTTTCTAGGGGTACGTTTTGAAAACTACGCCGCACCCGCTCAGAATGGGAAAAGATCAAAACTGGTGCTGAAAAAATGTTCGCGACTTTATCGCAGCTCCCAATCTTCCTATGAATTTCCCCGACTACAATGCGATCGATGTATCGCTCGATATAGTCCATACTGGAGAGGAAAGCCTGCGCCTCAGAAGACACTACTGTTGCTGCTCCCAAGCAATCAATGAAAAAACCCGGGCTTTAGTTCCTCGAGAAACTCTGCGTTTCGCCGTCGATAAGTAGCCGAAACCTCTGCGAGCTATAATTAGTACAGGAGACGGTCATATAAGATGACTGTGTGTTTGTTTTGTAGACGCGATGCATAGCAAATATTTCACAAGTATTCACCAAGTATCAATAAGTACTGCGGTTTCTGGCGGGAAATGCTTTTGTTAGCATATTTATGGTGCAACCTGTATAGCTCGTCCAAACGTCCCACTCTTATTCATTCTTCTGATCTCATTGGCTGCTTTCAGCCCGCGAAGGCGCCGGCCTGGGGCGGCATTTGCTCCTTGTTTACAACCGAATCTTGGTGGATACCGTTGGCCAAGTAGTCCCCAGCCGGCGCGCTCGTTCGCTCGCGCGCTCGCGGGCCGGCCGGCGGACTATGAAAGCGGCCATTCTCGTCCAGCCCCCTTTTTAACGATTTTTCGAAGCCTTTTTTCACTCTGGAAATCCCGATTCACGCATTTCCTTCGCCTTCATCGCACTATTTTTGTCTATCTTCTATTTTTCATCAGAATTTAGTCTACCCAAAATTATCGTAAACTGTGCCTTCAAGATTCGGTTCGCATTTTCCCCTCCACCTCGAGAATTCTAAATAAGTGCGGTGACAGGTTATAGATAGGAGATCGCAAAAGATAGCCGAAACAAAGCGGTGACTTAAATTAGTAAGAAAAACGGTTTAGGAGCTTTTATGCGAATGAAAGCACATGTTGCAAAAGCGGAAACGACAACGGGGAGCAAGCCTTCGCTCACCTGGAGAGGGAGAACACTTCCACTACGCCACGGTAACCCTTGTGGCCAATGCTTATCAGGTGGCACTATATCTCCATGCTCTAAGCATGCAAATTTGAATGGTCACATTTTTTTTAGTAGACTCATTTTGCAGTTTTAATCTCCGTATTTGTTAATATCTTTCCAAGCCCTATCCTATACCTAGGTCTCTATTAGAAGTTCCATAGGAAGTTGGAACCCTTACCTGGTCAGAATTCGAAAATTTGAGCCATGAACTGAATGTCAGTAGTGTCCTCATGACAAACGAAAACGGGTCGTAGACTATTACGTCTGCATTTCCAGCGCTTTGGAGAGAATATGTCTAAAAAAAAGGCCCAGAGAAAATGGCAAAAATGCTGTGTTACCCAGGAGAAATGTTTAGTTCAGGGGTATAGTATGGGGAAATGGATGACATCTTCCATGGCTGACTCCGCAAATAAAAATGCACATCATAGTAACAGAAATGGAAGGTTGGGCGCTATATAGTATCCGCATACCAAATGCCCAAAAGTCTGAAGAGAACACTTAAAATAGGTTTGAAGCTATGGGACTTGTTTCAAGGAACACTGGAGCTGGAATTGAAGGTAACTTCAGTTTTTCATGAACTTCTCGCACTGACTACACCTATTTATATTCGAGCCCTCTCCCCTTGGGTCCAAAACACCACCTGAACGCAATGACCAGTAGTAATTCAACATTTCACTCCTCGTGAGCGGCGCATAAATATCAAAACCCTCTGAAAAGTAATTGACGCTTGCTTCGCAAGTTTTGTCCGAAACACCTCGTTTCGATCATATGCTGCCCTTTAGATGCCTGCACTTCTAATTCCCCAGAAAGGAGGGCCCGGATTTTGCGTTATCAAGCTGGAAGCTAGATAACGATAGGAAGGAAAACGAAGATCCGAGACCTATCAGGAGATACGCCGGATACGCCTTCGATTGAGCAGTTATCATTGTGAGCTTCCAACTTGTTTGTTAATGTTGGGGTGGTCTCATCTTCTTTAGCACTGCTCAAGAAGTGGCTGTAGGACTTCCACAAGCAGAAAAAGTTGCTCTAGGTGCATTTGAACTTTCATCGGTGAACTGAAGTTCAATGAATCACCGAAGAAGGGTATGTTTTGTGATGATATCTTCTCTAAAGTTAAAGACTTCAGGTAAAGACTCTAGAGTTCAACTTCAACTTTGTCGCACTTTTCAGAATAATACAAAAAGGGCTGAATCAAAATCGAAATCACAGTCTGGAAGTTCAGAAAGCAGTGAACGTGTAAGTCTTAGAACGTCGGAAGTGAGCGGCCAATGATTTCGTATCGTTTAGTTCAGCGCAGGAAGTGAGGACGAAGAAGAGCCAAGAGACTTTGAGCAACAGAATGAACCTGGAAACAGGGACAAATCAAGCGAAGCTCCTCCAACGGCACAAGAGGGTCCTCCGCTGATACCAGAGGAACGACAAAAGAATTTCGTTGTTAGACCAGGGTACGTGTCAATGTTATTAGGGAGTGATAGCAGTTTTTTGAGGTGAACCTAGGAACTTGCTCACTGAAGGGGAACAAGCTGGAGCATGGTCGTATCCTATTGATATTGGGCGTGCGTTAGGAAAGCGGCTAGCCGGTCTGTGTATCGTTATGTTTAGTAATTGAACAAAGTGAAGAAAGGTTCAAACTGCTGTTATGTGGTGGGTGCAGTGAGCGGTGAAAAGGTATCACCGAAACATTCGGAAGAATACAAGTAGGCATGATGGACTTTATATCTCAATTCCCACGATGGCCGACAAGTAAGCGGGAATTACCGTAACCAACCCTGGGAATACAAAACTTACTCTTACACCGAGCGCCCCGATATGCTGCGACGGCAGCGGCGGTGAACGCAACATGCCGTCTGGGTACAATTCCAACAACGTGTAAACACAAAAGAGGGGTAGTGCCTATGTAGGTAGAGAGGCAGTATCACCTGTACCTACTGACGTCCCTATTGGTGATGCTAGGTCGGGTGAATGCATTCTGGCAGATCCTTCAGAGATGTAACCTCTCAATATTTTTCAGGTTTGCATATTTTCTGGTCACAATCCCCTTTGTACAAGGACAACGATTTGGCCTAGGTGTGAAGCACTATCGAAATATGGTGATCGTCAGTAAAGCAGAAGAAGGTCACTTTACCGTCCCACTCCTGGTCCTAATCGTCAACTCCTCCACCGAAATCCATTTTAGGTTCATCAGTAGCTGATACCATAAAAGTAATGGATCGTATTTGTGATGTATGCTCAATGCCTGTCTCTGATAAGGACGTATGTAAATCGATGATAATCAGAGCACTAAAATACGCTGGAGAGGTGGATATGATCATAGAACGGCCTATGGAGCCTGAGGCGATCAAGATGATGGAGGTTAGCTTTTATGGAAAATCCACAAGGGTAGCTTTGGTAATGAGAAGCAATTTTAAGCAGGTGATGGTCTAATGGTTTACATTACTCGATCCGTACTGCGATTCATGTACTTAGGAAAAGCAAACGAATAAAAAGTTGGAAACTAAGAGAGAGAAAGTTACTATCATCCGAAATGTATACCTGCGAAGACATCATCGAGAGCTGGCTCACGCCGCCTAGTCATTTCTACGAGTTAATNNNAAAAAAAAACAGCAAGTTACCGGAAAGAAAGAAAATGAAGCCCATCTCGTGAAAAAGAAAATACCGTTCCGTTGGAGCCAGAAGCTTGCTGATAGCAGTTTTGAGTGGCAAAGAAATTTGCACAGGGGACAAGGATTCGACACGAACTTCGGAAGACGATCGTTTCGGTTTCCTGGACAGATTTCTAGGCCGCTCGAAACTGTTTTCAGCAAGCTTCTGACTCAGCTTTTTCAATTAGTCCAAAAGGAGACCTCTTGTTAATCCGTAGGACGTTGATCATACCTTAGAGAGTCCTGTTTAGAACGCACTAAACGCTTCACAAATGCAAGAACCGTCCGTAGCCATGGCGCCTGATGTGAAATCGATCGTACGGCGATACCAGGAAAAATTGAAACAAGGACATGGGCAGATGCCAGCAGTGAGTAGATTTTTCGTTTGAAAATTCTTATCTGTCAGTTCTCTGGATATCATTCAGTATCAACCATCTGTCTCATCAGATGGTTTAATACTGAATGATATCCAGAGGAACGGTGGACCAGCTGCTAGAGGTATCTGGACATAGTACCATCCGATTCCATACGGAGCGTACTGGCTGCCTATTTCATATTTTCTAAAATCTGACAGACGACCTGACTGCAGCAAGATATCGACGTAAAGATCAAATGTTCCCAAAAAGCCGCTCGCCTGAAGGCTGGACTGATTCATGAGCTCGCATTCCTGTAGTTCGAATCCTCGCTACGGGGTTTTCTAAGAAAACCCTTGCAGTGACAAACATGCCTCGTTTCTATCGCCAAGGTAGGTGTAAGGGTGTGAGAATGGCCGAATGTTCATGGCCATTGCAATGCTGGCTTGCCCTCACCGGATCTGATCCCGCGAACCGTACAGGCTTAGTATGGCGTCATCAGCTTTGGAAAACTTTGAAGTATCGGATTCTATCCGAAAGTGTTGAATTACATGTTGCTATTACAGCGTAAAGCGATAACTGATCCCAATAAACCACAAGCGAATGCTCCACATGTTGTGCTTGGAGAAGGCGCCGGAAAGTCACACATATCGCTAATTATAGGATGTGATAGAACTCCCAGTCAAGTGAACAAATTGCATGTGAGTTCCGACTAATATTGCCGGTACCATTATCATTATCGTCCATTTTATCCTTCTAATTATCACACCATACTGAGAAAGCTTATCACACCACACCGAGATAGCTCGAAGCCCCTACGTCACTCAGTTCCTTCCATATAACATTGCGAGGCATCTTTTAGGACCTTGAGGGGCACTTAGCCCTTATATGTGATGCTTTTGTGCTTAACGACCTTAGTGAGGTCTGATTCAGGAAAGTAGAACAGCAGTTTTCTTTAATCTCGACATAGTTCTATAATTTGTCCCCTATTTATTCTTTTCTCTCGAACAAATAAAAACTGAAAGGGCATTTGGGAGGAACTCCTCGTGAAATCTGTTTTTTTTTGTACAGCTCTCAAGAAAACAATGATACGAGAGCCGAATTTGACTGAATTTACCTTGGAAAGTTACCGTAATGCAGAAAGGCAAACAACGATGGGCATACCTTACAAACTCATTCGAAGAGGCTCTGCCTGTAGCCGGCCAAAAACACCTGCCAATGCCTGGAGACCATAGAGTACGGGTGCACAAACTTCCTTCTCTCTAGGCTTCCCATTGCGAACATACGATCATACCGACATGACCTGAAGTTGAAGTCGCGCTAGCACATCCACTTCATCCGAAAGGAAACAAAACACGAAGGAAAAGTTGGCTATTTCAGAAAGTGAAGCCAAAGTTAAGGAAACCACCAAGCGAGTGATTATGGGTGCACTGACAAAAACCGGATGTTTAAAACTAATTCGAGAATTTGTATTCGCTGAGATTTATTCGGAATTACAATGAGAGTATAGTGCTTTTTTGAACTTGTCTTCCGTTCAGATGTGCCGACAGATGATTATGTGATGTTCTGAATAAATCGGTGATTAAAAGTGTGCACTTATGATTATTTACTTTTAAATTACAGCACAGAAATGCAAGGGGCATTCTCACTGTCGCAGTCTACCATATCAAATCAGCCATGGCAGAGCCCTTCCGCAAATTGGAGATAAAAAGCATTTTCTGTGATGGTAGGATGTAGGGAATGAAAAATTCTCTGAAGATGGGCACAAAAATGGTGGCATTGGTGTGAAAAGAAAAAACTGGATAAAACCTTCCAAAACTCGGTGCAATCTAACCGTGTCCTACTCCTTAAAAAAGGTTTAGCGTAGGTAGCGAAACCGTAGACCGGCATCGATTCATGCCTAGAGGAGGAAACCGTTTGGGCGAATCTATGAACTGTCAAAGGTATATTTGGGAAATTTATCAATTGCTCGGCCCCTTTGACCAAGCCCTCAGACGACATTTTTTTCAAAGTTGGAAGGTTTAGAAGTCGTTTTTTGGCTTAAGGCTGAGGACAGATTGAATTGGTAGAACCTCTTCCGCTGTCATGCTGCGGCTCTGCTCCAAGCAGTTACGGTAAGAACTCGTTCATCTGCGTTCTAGTGCTTGAAGTACAGCCTCTTTAGTGAACGTAACGACGCGCTCTAAGCGAGGTGTTAGGAAGAGCGAGACTCAGTTAGTTATGGCTAGACCAGGCTGCTGCGCACGATATCCCGTGCGCTAGGGGCTCTAGCCCTCAACGGAGCCACATGAGCTGATTTTCATTATAGACCTTTATCGGATTTATGAGTTTCCACTCAAACCCCGCCTCCTGCGGGCAGAGTCTCGTTCTGCCACCCACCATAAGTGTTCAAATCCTGTCACCTGTGCTCCTCCAAAATTTGAACGCTCTAGTTACACTGGGAAAGGACTTATAAGTTTCCGCTCAAACCCCGCCTCCTGTGGGCAGAGTCTGGTTCTGCCACCCACCATAAGTGTTCCCATCCTGTTACCTGCACTTCTACTAAGTTCGAACTTTCTAGGTCCAAGGGCACAAGAATTATGAATTTTCGCCCAAACCCCGCCCTTTGCGGGCGGGGTCTGGTTCTGCCGCCCACCATAAGTTTTCCCACCATGGCGCCTGTATTCCTACCAAGTTTGAATTTTCTAGGTCCATGGAAACTGGAGTTATGGATTTTCGATATAAATGTAGGAAGGGACGCGAGCTTCGAGGCACGCTCCGCCCATTGTGGGCGAGCCTCCGCTGACATCATTTATGCTGAAGACACCATCGACAATGCTCCTCCCACATCAACTTTTCCTGTTCTGTTGGCTTTCTCCAAACCGAGTTATAAATGTTTTCATAAAGCGTTGCATTTTTGGAAAACGATCCGCCCATCGGAGGTGGGTCTCCCCAGTTTGATCTAACTTACCAATGCACACCTCTAGCCACCCTCACACCCCAGTTTTGAAGCCGTCTTGTGACTAAATTTGAAATCATGGTCCTCAGTACAGCTCATTTCGATGCATGCCACGCCCACTGTGGGCGGGGTTCCGCCAAGCTGATGTGTGCTTTATATTTCTCGGGGCATGGACCACCCATCCCACGCTCGACCCGGTCTCTCCAGGCAATTCTGAAGGAGCTAAGGAATTTCGTGACATACATACATACATACATACATACATACATACATACATNCATACATACATACATACAGACAGACAGACAGACAGACAGACAGACAGACAGACAGAGAGACAGACAGACAGACTAAGCGCTTTATAGTAAGCAGGATCTTTCAGAGTACTACGTACGACTTCAGTAGTAGTCAGAGCTGTCAATGGGGGCATTCTGAAAGGGACAGTTCACGATAATTTTGGTTATCTAGTTTTAGATGAGTAATTGAAGTGATAGTTCTGGGAAACAAATGAAGAGTAACAAAAGTGGCGATTAAAACGTGAAAAATTGCGTAATTAAAGAACGATATGGCTTCAATAAGGAACAAAAATTGGGGGTAGGGCGAGACCGTTGCGAGAAAAGCTGCTCGACAGGCGTTTTTGGACGCGCTGTCCCAAAGCACGCGCCATTGCATGAAGCTGGCTACAAAACGTTGCCTGCGTGTAAGGTGTGGGTCTCGGTGCGAATAGTGCAACCTCTACAGCTTTTACAACGCTCAAAACTTGTCCGTCTGGGTGTGCACGTCGAGTAAGCTGATTTTAGGGCCCCTATTACGGTCTAGTTTGACTGTTTTTTGGCCCGACAGCGTTCTCTAGGCTGCCCTTGGAGACCACAGGTTCATCTAAAGGAGAAAACTTAAAAAACAATTTTAAGGTGAACTGTGCCTTTGTCGGAGTTTGAGACTATCATATACCCTTTCTAAGCGTCTTTGTTGCAACAGCAACAATGGAAAACCAGGTAATCGCCGCTTGCATTTATTTGCATCTGTATCGGAACGCAACGTTGTCAAAACAACGATTATGGAAAGCGGACGAAACCCTGTGTTACCCTTCCCATCGACTCAGCTACAACTTCGGGTCATTTCATTCAAAAGTGCAAAGCCATTCGAAGGGATAGTGGGAAAAGGAAGAATGCGGTCCATGTCGACACTGTTTTGATCGGAAGCTATTAGGGTGTCCCAAAAATGTTGAGAAAATTTTGGCCATGGATTTCGCAACCATGTTGTGCAAGAAAGCGTCGAAGCAGAGCCACTGAGAAAAGGACAGGAAAAGGGCACTCTTGGTAGATCGTCAAAACAATGTAACGGTATTGCGCTTCATCTTTGAAAGTGGGTTTCATTATTTGAATTATGTCCGACCATGACTATCTACATATTCTACTTCATTGCCACGATTCTGGCCGCTCAGCCACTCAAGCGCGGAATGAAATGCAGTCATCGATGGGCAGTACTGCACCTTCTCTCGTCACCTGCTGTAGGTGGTACGGTCGCTTCCCTAGAGGAGAAATTCACTTCGACGAAGCGCCACGGAGCGGACGTTCACATTCCACCAAGACCGACATTGTCTTAGCCTCTGTCTAAAGCAATCCTTCTGAAAGCTTGAGAGAAATGGAGAGGACGACTTCTGCTACCTGTTCCACCATCCACGACATCCTACGCAGACGTCGCTTTCGCGCAGCACTTCCTG